TCTTTGATGCCTGATACCTAATCCGTTCGACGCCTTGTGATCTCACAGGCTGGTGTTCTTCTTCCATGTGGGTTTTGTTGTTTCTCAGCTAGATGGTCGCTTGTTTATCTTCAGGCCTTTAAGACTTCAGATGCTATATCTTTTGGTAGCCGGGCACCATCAGCTATCTTCACCACATTTGCTGTGCACTCATTGTCTTTAGCGATCGTGCCAGGAAGGTGAGCATCTCAGACTGCTGAATTTTTAGAACAAAGTGTTCTTGTGTTGAGGGAATATTTGAGCAGGGGCCCACTGTCCATCTGTTTCCTTAATACTAAACCTATAAATATATGTACATAGATCTATTTCCCCTTCGTATATAAGTATATTTACATCTGTATATGCCTGTATTTAGATCTCTATAACTACCCTTTCCTCCTAGTTCTTTCCTCTATTTCTTTGTACTTTCCTCTTGTCCCACTATTATGTTCAGCCTTCATTTGGGTTTTAGGAATTCCTCTCGGTTACGCTGCCTTTGATCCAACCTGCCAGACCTCTTACACCCTCCTTGCCACTGATTTTGGATCACTTGTTGTTCCCGTGTCCCTGGGTTTGTTAACACCCACTTTCTTTCCCCTGCCTCCCCTTCTCACATGTCCCCCCAGAACTGTCATCCGTTGTTCTCTCTTCTGGCTTGTTTATCCTGCCTATCCCTTCCAGGTAGACATGCAGCAACAACAATATGTACCATCACAAGACTGAGTACAACGAAGCAACAATAGAAAGTAAAACAATAGCTACAACAACAACGACAACACAAAAAAACCTATAAATAGTTTGGGGTCTATTTGTTGTCCTTCACGAGTGCTTTCCAGTCAAGTCTGATGGGGTGCCATGCCCTGGCCCCACATCTATCCCTGGGGACTTCATTGCTCTGCTCCCCCTGCTGCTCTGCTGCATGCCCCCAGAGGCTGGCTTTGGAGTAGTGAGCTCAGGGCGGCACTATTCCCACCGTGAGTCTCTAGTGTTGTCCCCACTGGTGCTATGGGTTAATGAGGAACACTATGTCCCGTGGTGGGGCCGGCCCTGTGGTCATCTCTGTACATTGCTGCTCTGAGCAGAAACATTGTCCTCAGGGCTTGGTGAGCCAGGATGTGCTTCGCTCTTTATCCCCCCC